GATGATGCAATATGGAATTCTAAAAAATGTTCAAGTAATTCACAGGAAGGCAGGAAAGAGAAAAGAGAAATGAAAAACAGAGAGAACAAAACAAACAAAACAAAAAACAAAAAAATGAAGTGGCAGACTTACACCCTAACAGATTAGTGATCTAAACATACTGATTAAAAGACAGAGATTAGTTGGGGCGCCTGGGTGGCTCAGTCGGTGGAGCATCCAACTTTGGTTCAGGTCATGATCTCATGGCTTATGAGTTCAAGTCCCACATGGGGCTCTGTGCTGTCAGCTCAGAGCCTGGAGCCTGCTTCGGATTCTGTGTCTCCTCTCTCTGCCCCTTCCCCACTCGTGCTCTGTCTCTCTCTCTCAAAAATAAATAAACATTAAAAAAAATTTTAAAAATTAGCAAAGTGGACTAAAAAATGTGCTGTCTATATGCAGTCTACAAGAAATTCACCTCAAATATACAATTTTAGGGGCACTTGGGTGGCTCAGTTGGTTGGGTATCTGACTTCAGCTAAGGTCATGATCTCACGGCTTGTGGATTCGAGCCCTGCATCGGGTTCTGTGCTGACAGCTCAGAGCCTGGAGCCTGCTTCAGATTCTGTGTTCCTCTCTCGCTCTGCCCGTCACCCGCTCATGATCTGTCTCTCTCTCTCTCTTAAGAATAAATAAAACATTAAAAAATATATACAATTGCAGGCAGGCTGAAAGTAAAAAGACGGAAACAGGTATAACACATAAACATTAATCTCTGCTGCTCCCCCATTCACGTACTTGCTCTCTCTCTTTCCCCCCTTTCAAAGATAAATACATAAACATTTTAAAAAAGAATTCTCAAAACTGAACAGTAAACAAGCAAAACAATCCAATTACAAAATGGACAAAAGGCATGAACAGGCATTTCACTAGAGAAGATACAGATAGCAAATAAGCACATGAAAAGATGGTCAGCATCATTAGCAATTAGGGAAATGCAAATTAAAAACACAGTAAGATATTGTGACACACCTATCAGAATGGCTAAAATAAAACAAAAGTGACAACACCAAATACTGACAAGGATGTAGAGATTCCATATTATTCACACATTTCTGGCAAGAATGTAAAATGTTACAGACACTCTGGAAAACAGTTTGGTAGTTTCTTTAAAATCTAAACATGCAATTACCATATGAGCCTGCAATTGCCTTCTTAGGTACTATTCCAAAAAAATGAAGACTCATGCTCACACAAAAACCTGTACACAAATGTTGACAGCAGCTTTATTTGTAATAGCCCCAAACTGGAAACAGCGCAGATGTCCTTCAATAGGTGAATGGTTAAGCGAACTCTGCTACATCCATACCATGGAATACTACTTAGCAAAAAAAGAAATGAAATACTGATATAACCAACAACTTGAAACTTGAAGAATTTCCAGAGAATTCTGCTGACAAAAAGCTAATCTCAAAAGGTTATATACTATATGATTCCTAATCTCAAAAATTATATACTGTAAGATTCAATTGATAGAACATTATGGAAATGACAAAATTATAGAAATCGATAATAGCTTCATGGTTGCCAGGAACTAAGGAGGGGCTGGGGTGGGAAAGAATTGGGTGGACGCTATAAAAGGGCAACATGAGGTATCCCTGTGATGGAAAAGTTCTGTGTCTTGACTGTAATAATGTCGACATCCTGGTTGTGATACTGTTTATAAGATTTTACCACTGGGGGAAACTGGGTAAAGCATATCTAAGATCTCTTATATTTAATTCTTATGACTGCAAGTGAATCTACAGTCATTTCAAAATAAAATTTTAACTTAGAAAAACAACCAGAGCAATCCATTTTCTCTTAAAAATAATCTAGAACATCAACCTACTGTATATAATCTTGCCTGCTTAAGCATAAAAGTCATCCAACCTGGTTTTTCATTGGCAGTAGCTTCTGAATACCAACTTGAGCCTTTTCCTTTGAACTGAATCCTAGTAAGAGCAGGTAAGGAAGATGTGTGTTCTGGTGGAAAGAGCCCTGGAACTGAGGTCAGATGATCTGAGTTCTAGTCCTCTCATTCATTAACCATATGACCTTAGGCAAATTGGTAACTTGACTTTTTTGGAAGGCAGCTATGCTCACCACTATATGACCAATGTGGTAACTTGACTTTTTTAAATCTTAAAAATTTCCTCATTGTCAAGGTTAATAATACAGCACTCTCTACTTCACAGAATTGCTGGGCGGGGGGGAAGGAGGGGATCCTATGAAATAATGGAGGTAAGAATGCTTTGTAAAATATAAAGCATGATACTGTGAGACACGAGGTTTTATATCTGTGTCATAGCCATTTTGCCAAGTATGGAGGCATTTGATAAAGGTTATCTGCTCAATAAATAATGAATGAGTGCCTGGTCATTAGAAAAGTCAAACAAGGGCAGAATTTTCTCTCAAGCATTTAAAACAAAGGAGATACACAACACATCCAATTGAAAGGAAAAAGCAACATATACTCTATAAAGAGCCAAGGGTATTACTAAAATAATCTCTGTATAAGAAAGTATACCTTCCCATCATGTTTCAAGGGATGAGCAATAATGGATGGGAGACTTATCAAAAAAGTAGAAAAAACATTAAGCTCTCCAGCAGGAAACCCAAGAGCCAGAGAGATGGAACAGTAAGAGACAGAATATAAGTGGCACAAAAATGCTCAGAGTAGTTTCGGCCTTATATAGAGACTATGGAAATGGATCAATTTGGATTTACAGTAAAATTTAATTTTAGTTTGTATTAGTTACTATGGCAAACACATCTGAAGGTCCAGATGAGGCTCATGGCTTAGAAATAGAATTTTCTCTTCTTCCCAAAAGAAACTAAAAAAATGTACACATCCAAAATGTTCAATGCTAACGTTTTTTTAAAAACTTAAATTCACACAGGCCATAATTACATAGCTCCAGGAGAATTCTAGGTTTTTGAAGTCGATGCTGGTTTGTACCAGGTTGTCACCCTACTATATTGTTCTGCCATCTGCTGTGGATTGCAGATATTTTTATATGAAGAGGTAACTGAGCCTAAAGCAGGGTCAGGATCCTCAGTTATTAACATGGACTCAAATAATGACTTTCTGAGGGACTCAAATAATGACTTTCTGAGTGACTTTAAGCAAGTCGTTTAACCTTAATATTTTATAGCTCCCTTATAATAACAATACCACCTTACATGTGTATGAGCTGTTTATATAAGGTTTACAACACATATTATTATTTCAACTGATCCTGAAAACCTCAGTGTGGGAATCAGAGAAGGTATTATTTCCATTTTACAAATGAGAAAACTGAAGTCAAACAGCATAGGAAGGATATCCATATGGAAAGTCAAACAAATAAAAGACTTACCTTACACCATCAACAAAACTGAAAACTCAAAATGGATCATAAACATGTATTTAAGAGATAAAAGCATAAAAACTTCTACAAGAAAACACAGGAGAAAATCTTTGTAAATTTGAGACAGGCAAAGATTTCTTATCATGGCCAAAATATGAACCACAAAATAAAAAACTGATAAATTAGACTTCATAAAAACTTAGAACTTTTGCTTTTCAAATGATGTCATTAAGAAAATGAAAAGACAAGCCAAAGATTGGGAGAAAACATTTACAAACTGTATGTTTGATAAAGGATTTATACCTATAATATATAAATAATTCTTACAACTCAACAAGAACCCAATTTTTAAAATGGGAAAATAACCATAGACATTTTTCCAAAGAAGGTAGACAAATGATCAATAAACACATAAAAAAAATATCAACACCATTAACCATCAAGGAAATGTGAATCAAAATCACAACACGCTGCCACCACACACCTACTAAAATGGTTGTAACAAAGAAGATGGACAGTAACAAGTGTTGATGAGGATGTGGGGAAATTAGAACCCTCATACACTGCTGGTAGGAATGTAAAATAGTGCAACCACTTTGGAAAACAGATTGTAGCTCCTCCAAAAGTTAAACATGAAGTTACCATATGACCCAGAAATTCATGTATTCAAGAGAACTGAAAACATATGTCCACATAAAGACTTGTACACAAATGTCACAGCAGTATTATTCATAATAGCTAAAAAGTGGAACCAACTCAAATGTCTACCAGCTATTGAGTGAGTGCAAAAAGAAATGTGACATATCCCATTAAGTAGAATATAATATTCTATTTATTCAGCAACAGGAAGGATTAAAATACTGATACATGCTTCAACATGCACCAGCCTCAAAAATATTATGCTAAATTGAAAGAAGCCACACACAAGAGATCACGTATTGCATGGTCTCATTCATATCAAGGGTCCAGAAAGAGAAAATCTACAGAGATAGAAAGCAGATCAGTGGTCGCCTGGGCCTGCAGGTAGGAACAGGGATTGACTGCAAATAGGTAAGAAGAAACTTTGTGGTAATAGAAATATTCTATAACTGGATTGTGGTGACAGTTGCATAACACTATAAATTTACTATAATCACTGAATGGTACACATGTAAAGGGTGCATTTTGTGATATGTAAATCACACCTCAATAAAGCTAATTTAAAAATCATTGAATAAACCTGTGCTGAAAAGAAAAAAATCAACAGAGGAGGGACTAAAATACAGGTCCTCAGTGTTCCTCCTTCTCTATTACCTGCCTCTGAGAAATGGAAGGAATAACAATGTTTTTCAAAGGCTTAGTACCTCACTGGGAAGTAACAATTCTACCAGGTTTTGAAAACACAAATAATTTAAAATACCAGGTGGTACTGTTATTCTCACTTAATCCATAGTATACTTGTATCAGAAATTTTCTACTTTTAACTATTTACATTTCATAAACCAAGGGAAATTTTATAATGTTTAAGTATATTGTAATATGAATTTATTTACCCTAAAATTCATACCAGAAAGCATTAACTCTGTGTAATTTCTAACACAAAAGACAGTTCTTTAAAATTAGCTGATAGCTTAATATCACTGTTCGACTTACGGTGTGGCTAATAAAGCTCAGAGCATCTTCAAAATAACCCCAAATTTCTTCTGGGGGACAGAGTTCTGTACTTGGCACCCCATCTGGCACCAAGAGGTTAATCAAGTTTCGCACACATTTGCTGAAATCAAAAAGAGAAAACTCATCCCATAAGGAAATAAATCATTGGCTTCATGGCTAAGATAAGTAAAATCTGGATCTCATCCCAGACTACGAGCTTCAAAACACTTCTGTTCTTCCCTCATTTTTATCTGGCCTCCAACCTCAGAAGACAGATTTTTGAAGCTATAAAAGGGGCTGACCAATCCTCCTTTTTATTATGCCTATGGTTTCTTTCACCTTTTTTTAGTTTCCTGCATCAAGGAGTAGTGGCTGTTTATTATATTTTATGAGCTGGTTCAATCTATAGGCACTTTAAAGCATCTCTTTATATCCTCAAATGGGCAAGGAAATTGGGATTTAACCTGGGAATAATTCCAGGAGAACTGTTTCTCATGTCTCAGAAAAGAAAGTCTGTAATAAAGTTTTCTGCAGAAAACTCACATAACATCATTTTCCTCCATGTCTAGGTACAGAAAACATAAAATATGTAATAAATAATATTTTGTATTATGATGTACAGCACTTATTGGTCCTTAAAGAAAGGTGCTTAGGAAAAATAAACGTCTTGGGCAAAACTAGCAAAATGTCAACATTTGTTAAATTTGGGTGGTGGATACACTGGTGTTTGTTATATTAATCTCTGAAAGGTATTCAATAATTTTATCATATATATAGTCTCACAACAAAGAAGCAACTTTCTCCCTTTTTTTCCCTTTTGGGAAAACCAGACTCTGTGACATAACTAATTCTTGGCCTATAATACAACTCTAAATATGAAGCTGTTCTGAGGGCTTTTTAGTTCAAGAGTTTACAGGAGTGCCCCTGATCAACTTTTAAATTGGACCAGTTGAGTATGACTGATGACTTATATAGCTCTTTTGACTATCGAAAAGCTTGGCTTCAGTGTTGAGTTACATTTACTAACCTGTATTTCACAGCATCAATTGATTGTTTCTTTTTGTAGAGCAATAAAGCCCTATTCAAGGCCTTCAGAGCAATGGAAGGATAGTGTGCAGGCTTTTCCACTGCTAACACTATAGGAGGGAAAGAAAAAAGGCTGTGAACACCATAGTCTCATCCATCACCATTTTCATCCCAGGCTACAACTTGATTTTTCTAATGAAACTAGCCTGAAACAGATGAACACAAACCAATCAACCAACAACAACAACAACAACAAAAACCACAAAAATTAATTTAATGAAATGATGAGTCCATGGTGGCTTTCAGAGAAAGTGTATAGTTTCTGGGCAAAGTAATATGGTAGGGTTATCAGGATTGTCTTTTATTCAGCAAACATCAAGAGAACCTACTGTTTCTGTGACCCTACACATAGTCATACAGGTAAAGCAATAATCTTATGAACCAGACTCAAGGAGGGGCACACCAAGATGGAAACAAAAAGCATACCAGTAAAAGAGCAATAATCAAAAACAGATTTATACAATATATTGCTTTGGTCTGATACTATAAACAGGAATCACTTGACATGAGAGTGAGTGTCGGGGATGACAAACCTTGTAACTTCCAAATGCATTTACCAGGCCTCTGTAATTGGAGATTCATTATACAAGGAGAAGTGGTCACCATCACATGTCTACAAAGTATACACCACAGGCTCCATGTCTCTAGAATTTTGTCTTGCAAGATAAGGAAAGGCAAATGTGACCTTTGTGCACCTGGGGCTATCTAATACCTTTATTAACCACACATAGGCTCCCAAGGAGGGTGAGACAGAAAAAAGGGAAAATAATTAGGTTATTTCCTGCAGCATATTCCCATACAGGCTCTGAGACCCCAACGACTACTTACTTAGAGCCCAACCAAAAATTTGAGAGTGGTAATTGTGTTAAAAAAAATATTACCAGTATTTCTTTGTATACTTTTTTGGGGGAAAGATTATATTTTTAAGTAATCTCTACACCCAACATGGGGCTTGAACCTACAATCCCAAGATCCAGAGTCACATGCTCTACCAACTGAGTCAGCCTGGTGCTCCTCTTTGTACACTTTAATAAATTGCTGAGATTGCATTACCTTTGATTAGTGAAGCAGATGACTGTCACTTCTAGCTACCTGAGTAAAACTTTCTGAAGGTTAAGCTCCCTCTACTGTGTAGTTATATAATTCAATTCCACACCTAGAATGAGCTTTGATTATGATTAATGCACTTCACTCAGGTTTATAAGTACAACAAATACAAGCACTTATTTTTCATGACCTTAAGGAGTTTATAGTCTCATATAAATAAAAAGATAAATGCATAAATGATTGTAATACATGACAGTTCAAGAATGCCATTAGAGAAGGAGAAACATTATTATTTCCCATCTAAGGGCAAAGAATGAAGAATAGAGACTGGAATAAAAAGTATTACAATCTAAATGGGTAGGTACCAGCCTACCAAAAACATAAATATAGCACTTACAGGCAATTGTTTCAAATGTTTTACTTTCCAAATGAGGCAGTTCCCACAGTGATTCCAGGAAACTGTCAAGTAATGGATCATTCATTTTGGCTTTAACTTCAAACTCATACAGCAGAAGCAGTGTCTCACATGGATCACCTGAGAAGTTCCCTAAGAAGGAGGCAAAAATGCAACATTCTCTGTGATTACATTTTATTATTCTATTCCAAGCTCTCTTCTGGGGAGATTTTCCTGTTGAGGAAAATTAATTTTATTTACAATTTGAAGACTGTCCCAGGTTCTGCATATAGATTTTTTACATTTTTAAAATTATAAAAAATGTTTATTTTTTTTCAGAGAGAGAGAGAATACAAGAGGGGAAGGGGCAGAGAGAGGGAGGGAGAGAGAGAATCCCAAGCAGGCTCTGCATAGTGCAGAGTCCAATACAGGGCTCGATCTCATGAACTGTGAGATCATGACCTGAGCTGATATCAAGAGTCAGAAACTTAACCAACTTAACCAACCAAGGCAACCCAGATTTTTTATATTTTTAAATCTATAAACTCACCAATTCTTTCAGCACCCTATAATGCATTCAGTAGCATTGCTTACATTTCTTGAAATTATTGCCATGATGTTCCTGAATAGCCTGAAAAAGTCCTGCTGTTCATCTGCCTCAATCCAAATCCAATGTTTATCTGCCTCACTTTAATGACTGAGTTAACTGAAAGATACAGTGCTGTATAAACTAACTGTGGTTTTATTTCAAGCAAAGTAAAAGAGAGTTTCCAAATCGTTTCATTTAGTCAGTCAATATTTCTTGGGTATCACCATGGGCAGAATATTATATCAGGTGGCATATAACACATGATATGAGATAGTTTTTATTCATGTTTGTTAGACTGAATTAAAAAAAAAAAAGTTTTGAGGTATAGCACCGATAAAATAAACTGAATGAAGCATGTTCATCTTAAACAAGCAGCTTATTGAGTTTTTAGATGTTTAACCCATATAACCATTACCCAGATCATGATATAGAACACTTCTAACACCTGTGTTCCTTTCCAGTCAAAATCATCTTAGTATTGGGGCACCTGGGTGGCTCGATCGGTTGGGCATCCGACTTTGGCTCGGGTCATGATCTCACGGTTCGTGGGTTCGAGCCCCTTGTCAGTCTCTGTGCTAACAGCTCAGAGACTGGAGCCTGCTTCAGGTTCTGTGTCTCCCTCTCTCTCTGCCCCTCCCCCACTCACATTCTGTATCTTTCTCTCAAAAATAAATGTTAAAAAAATCACCTTAGCAGAGTTAACAACTATTTTGGTTTCTATTCCTATTGATTGCTATTGCCTGTTCTTCAATGTCATTGCTAGTATAACAGAAATATAGTCAACTTTTGAAAATTTGACTTTGTATTCTGTAACTTGCTAAAACTCACTAATTTCAGTAACTTTTCTGTAGATTCTTTGGGATTTTCTATGTAGACAATCATGTAATCTGCAAATACAGGTGGTTTTATTTCTTCTTTTTCACTCTATGTCTTTTTTCCATTCTTTTGCTTGCCTTATTGCACTGGCTAGGACTTCTAGAATGATGTTGAACAAGACTGAGAATAGAAAACCTTGACTTGTTCCTGCCCTTAGAAGGAAAGCATTCAGTTTTTTAATGTTTATTTATTTTTGACAGAGAGAGAGAGACACAGAGCATGAGTGAGGGAGGGGCAGAGAGAGAGGGAGACACAGAATCCGAAGCAGGCTTCAGGCTCCGAGCTGTCAGCACAGAGCCTGACGCAGGGCTTGAACTCACAGACCACGAGATCATGACCTGAGCCAAAGGATGCTCAACCAACTGAGCCACCCACGTGTTCCAGCATTCAGTTTTCCATCATTAAATATGATATGAGCTGTGATTTAATTTTTGTATATACCCTTTATCAGGTTGAGAAACTTCCCTACGATTCCTAGTTTCCTGAGAGCTTTTTTTAAAATCATAAATGTATGTTCAATCTTTTCACTTAATCTGTTGATATGGTAAATTAATTGAATTTACAATATTGAACCTAGGAGAAACCTGATTTGTTTATGGTCTATTACCCTTTTCAAATTTTACTAAATTCACCTTGCTAATATTTTGTTGAGGATTTCTGCATCTATTTTCATGAAGAATATTGGTTCATAATTTTTTATCATATTTTTTGTCTAGTATTGGTATCAGGGTAAATATGATCTCATAAAGTGAGCTGGGAAGTATGCCCTTTTCTTTCTGGAAGAGTTTGTATAAAACTGGTATTGTCTTTAAATGGTTGGCAGACTTCCTTAGTGGAGTTTTCTGTTAGAAGATTTTAAACGACAAATTCAATGGGTATAGGACTATTCAAATTATCTATTTCTTCTTGAGGGAGCTTTGTTGGTTTGTGCCTTTCAAGGAATTTATCCATCTCATCTAAGCTGTCAAAGTCATGGGCATATAGCTGTTCATAATAGTCCTTAATCATCTTTTTAAATGTCTGTAGGATCTGTAGTGATGCCTCTATTTTCATTCTTGACATTATTAATTTGTATCTTTATTAATTTTGTATAGATAATGCTGCTATAAACATTGGGGTGCATGTATCCCTTTGAATTCATATTTTTGTATTTTGATATTAATATAGCCACTCCAGCTTTCTTTTTATTAGCATTTGTTTAGTGTACCTTTTCCAATTCCTTTTATTTTCAACCTATCTATGTCTTCATATTTAAGTGTTATTTTAAAAATAGAAAGCATGTAGTTGGGTCTTGATTTTTATCCAATCTGACATTCTTCATCTTTTAATTGGTATGTTTACACCAGGGGTGAGCAAACTACAATCTGTGAGCTGACTGCCTGTTTTGCAAATAAAGTTTAATTTGAACACAATCATGTCCTTTGTTTAAATATGGCCCATGTGTTCCTGTGACAACAGCAGAGTTGAGTAGTTGTGTCCAAGATTGTATGACCTGTTAGCCTAAAATATTCACTACTGGCACTTTAAAAAACGTTCCCTGACCTCTGATTTAGACCATTTATATACAATGCAATTATTGACATAGTTGGGTATTCTTGAACTTCATAAAAATGAATTGTACTTAGAACAACTAGACAGAAGATAAGGAAATTTAAAAAATGAAAATATTGTAAGCCAACTAGACCTAACAGACATCTATAAAACACTCCTCTCAACAGCAGCAGAATATACATTCTTCGTAAGTACCCACAGAATATTTTCTAGGATAGACATATACTAGGTCATAAAACAAACTTCAATAAATTTCAAAATATAAAATAATGCAGAGTATCTTCTGTGATCATAATGTAATAAAATTACAAATTAATAACAGAAAAAAATTGGGATATGCACAAATATATGGAAAATAAACACACCCTTAAACAACCAATAGGTCAAAAAATAAATCAAAAGAAAAATCAGAACATACTTTGAAATGAATAAAAATGAAGACACAATATACCAAAACATAAGAGATACAGCTAAAGTAGTGCCTAGAGGGAAATTTATATCTGTAAACACCTACATTAAGAAAGAAGAAAAACATCTCAAATCAGTAATCTGAACTTCCAACTTAGTTAAGAAAAAAATAACATAAACAAGTAGAAGGTAGAGAATAACAAAGACTGGAGTGGAAATGAATCAGTTAGACAATAGGAAAACAATAGAAAAACTAATGAAACCAGAAGCTGGTTCTTTGAAAAGATCAACAAAATTGACATATCTTTAGAAGCCTCATTACTAGAATCAGAAATGGAAAAGGAGACATCACTACCAACCTTAGAGAAATAAAAAGGATTACAAAGGACTCCTATGGACAACCTTATGCCAATAAATTAGATAAACTGGATGAAATGGACAATTTTCTAGAAAGAAAAACTACTGAAATGGATTCAAGAATAAATACAGAATCTAAATAGACCTATAATGAATAAAATAATTGCAATAGTTTTAAAAACTATAGAAAAAGAAAAGCCCAGGCCTAGACAGTTTTACCACTGGACTTTACCAAACATTTAAAGAAGAATTAATACTAATTCTCACAAATTCTTTTAAAAATAGAAGGGGACAGACCATTTGACAACTCATTCTAAGAAGCCAGTATTAATGTGATACCCAAAACCAAAGACATCACAAGTAAAAAAAAATCACAAAATACTAGTAAACTTAATTCAGCAATGTAGAAAAGAATTATACTTAACAAACGAGAAGGGAACTTCCTTGATCTGATAAAGGGCATCTCTGAAAAACCCACAGATAACAACATACTTACTGGTGAAAGACTGGATTCCTTCCCTCTAAGATATAGGACAAGAAAAGGATGTCAACTTTCACCACTGCCATTCAACACTGTACTGGAAATTGCAACCAAATAGACAAGAAAAATAAAAGACATCAAGACTGGAAAAGAAGTAGTGAAACTATCTCTAGTCGTACAGGATGTAATCTCGTAAATAAGATTCCTAGGGAATTCAGTAAAATACCATTAGAACGATAAATAAGTTTAAGATCAACAAATAAAAATCAATTCTAAATTCTATAAAGTAGCAATGAGCAAACTGAAAATAAGATTAAGAAAGTAATTCTACTTACAATAGCATCAGAAACAATAAAATATTTAGGAATTAATTAAACAAAAGAAGTGCAGGACTTATACAATGGAAGTTATAAAACATCATTGAAAGAAGTTAAAGATGGAAATAAATGGAAAAATATTCCATGTTCATAGATTAGAAGACTTAACATTGTTAAGATGGTAATACACCCCAAAATGATCTACAGATTCAACATAATACCTATAATAATGCCAGCTGGCTTTCTTCTTTTTTCAGAAATTGCCAGGCTGATTCTAAAATTGATATGGAAATTCAAGGAACCCAAAACAGCCAAAATGATCTTGAAAAAAGAACAAATTTGGAGGACTAACACTTCCTGACCTCAAAACTTACTACAAAGCAGTGATAAGACAGTGTGGTACTGGCATAAGGACAGATATACATATAAATGGGATATAATTGACAATCCAGAAATAAAAACATTGCCTATGATCAACTAATATTCCACAAAGAGGCAAAGATTATCCAATGTGGAAAGAATATTAAAAAAAAAATGGCTCTGAAGATGGTGGAATAGTATGGAAGCTTTTTGT